AAGATAAAGGGTAAAGGAGGAAGAGGAGGAGGAGAAACAGGGAGAGGACAAAGGAGAAGGAAGAGAAGGGAAAGGTGAAAGAGAAGGAGGAAGGAGAAGGAAAGAAGATGAGTAAGAAGGGAAAAGATGGAGAAGAGGAATATGAAAGGGGAGATCAGAAGGAAAAGAAGTAGAAGGAAGAGGAAGAGAAAAAAGAAAGTAAAAATGGGGAGGAGGGGGAGGAGAGAGAGGAGGAAGAGGAGAAGGAAAAGAAAGGAGAAGAAAAAGAAAACACACATGTTCAGCATTTTTAAAAATATGATTTTTTGATAAGGTAAACATGGCTATATCTCACAACAAATAACATCATGGAATGAAGGAATCTAGGCACAAAAGAATGTAAACTCTTTCATTTATGTTACATTATAGCATTGTGCTATACAGCTTGTATCTGGCTACTTAAATTGAATTAATTAAAATTAAAAATTAAAAAGTCAATATGTTTAATCACATTGGTGGCATTAACTAGTGGCTACTATAATCAGGGAAAATATAGAGTATTTCCTTCCTCATAGCAAGTCCAATTGGATAACATTGTAGTCAAAGACACAAGTAACTTTCAGTGACCAAAATCAAGAGCATGATTACTGTAGGATTGAAGTGAGGGAGGCCCAGTTGCAAAGGGGTTATGAGGGGACTTAAGTAGAATGGAAATATTTAATGTCTTCTTTATGATTCAGGGTATATGAGGTATGACATGTCAAAATTCTTCAGAATTGGTGAATTTCACTGTATGCAAAGTTTAGAGTATGCAAATTATATACCATAAAATTGATTTGAAAAGGTTACACATGTTTCATTTTTAATTAGATGCAATATAATATTAAACGATTTTTACAAACACATACATAAATTAATAGTGCAATACTGGGATAGTTCCTGGAGATACAAGATGAGTGAGAGATTAAGCCTGGCCTGAAATTGTTCCTAGTCCAGCACAGGAGATGAGTCTTACACAAAAGTAGATAGAACCCAAGAGGAACCCTTACAAAACCAAGTGTGGACAATATGATTTGGGACATGAGAATTGAGGATGGTTCCTTTTTAAAAAAAATATATGTTTTGTTGTAAAGATACTGTACAGAGGGGTTACAGTTTCATGAGTAAGGTAATGAGTCCATTTCCTATTGAGTATTGTTACCCTCTCCATTATTTTTCCCCTACTATCCTTGCCCTCCCCACCTCCCTAGCTCTTCCCTCCCTACCCCCAAGCTGTAAAGTTCGTTTTCAACATAGTGTCTTGTACTGCTCATTGTTACAATGGGTCAACCTGTATCATTGTTTCAGTGTTTTGTTATTTCCCTTCCCTACCCCAAATTAGAAAAATGAATATACAAGATGCAGGGCACTGGAACCAAACAGGTGTGTTAAACCATGGGGGAACAACGTACAAAAGAAACAAAAAAATTGCATAGTACATTAAAAACAATAACAACAAAGAAAAACATCTTGTGTCCCTATCTTGGGGTTCATTTTGCTTAGCATCATCTCATAAGGTCTTATGTACATAACTTTTGACCTTTTCGGCTTGTCGGGTAAGATTACCTTAGACCTATATTAGTTATTGCAAATAAGGGAAACAATGTGCCAGTCCTGGGGCTTGAACATAGAATCTGGGTGTTGTCCCTGAGCTTCCTTTGTTCAAGGATAGCAGTCTGTCACTTGAATCACAGCTTCATTTCTGGCTTTTTCCATAGTTTATTGGAGATAAAAGCCTCACAGAATTCTCCTGCCTCGTCTGGCTCTAACTGCAATCCTTAGATCTCAGTCTCTTGAGTAGCTAGGATTATAGGCATCTGGTACTGGCACCCTGTTAGATTGATTCCTCGTATCTCAAAGAATGAGGGAGATTTGATTCTTGAAGGCTATGCAGATGAAGGGGTGCATGTGTGCATGCGTGTGTGTGCGTGTGTGTGTGTGCGTGCGTATGTGCACGCGTGCCTGCCTGTGGGTGTGTGTATCAGTACAATAGAGGGGCTTACTAACTTTTTCTCTCAAGGTGAATGCTCTAAAAATTGTGTCACCACTCCAGTCTGGCTTTTTGGTGGTTAATTGGAAATAAGAGTCTCATGGAGTTTTCTGTTCAGGGTGGCTTGCTTATTTATTTATTTACTTGAATGATATTTTTGGCATTACAACTAGGTTATGAAATTTGTACCTTTTCCCAAAAGTAATCATTGTCTTTAACTTTCCTTCTTTTATTTTTATTATTATTTAATTTTATTGTCAAAGTGTACAAACAGGTTACAATTATATAGGTCAGGTAATGTGTAAATTTCTTTTTGATCAGAGTCGCCTCCTCCCTCATTTTCTCCCAGTTTTGTTTCTTCCAGACTACTCTCCTCACAACTTGTATAGTTCATTTTCAATGTGGTATCTAGTGAGTATCACTGCTGAATTAGTTCATCCTTTGTCCCCCCATTTCTGTGCTTCCCAATATTTTTCAAAAGTATTTAGTTTGTTGCCACCTAATATCTTAGCCCTAAATCTTAAATCCTAAATTTAGGATTTTTGAATATTTATTAATGTCATGGCCTACATATTAAATGTTTTATAATACAAAATAAGCTGTAAACCTTTTAAAATAAAAAAAAATCACATCTGGGTACTAATGGCTTAAGTATAATCTTAGCTTCTCAAGAAGCTGAGATCTGAGGAACTAAGTTTATAGCCAACTTGAGCAGGAAAATCCCCAAGTCTCTTTCTTATTTCCAATTAACTAGCAAAAGCTAGATGTGGAGCTGTAGATCAAGTAGTAGAGTGCCAGCCATGCACACTCATGCACACACACACACACACATACACACACACACCAATAGGAATATTTGCAAATTGATTGTTTGAGAGTTTGTGGTCTTGGATGTAATTTAAAATATTTAAAAACTATTTATTCCTTAATTCCAAGAAGTATTGAATTCTAAATACCAAATCTGCAAAAAGCTCTAGATATTGACACATGGTCCAAGGGACACCCATAGTTGCACAACTTGGGAAAGTGTTATTTCAAATGCAATGTCTCAGGCTCATGTCAGACCACTGAGCCAGAATCCACATTAAGATGTCTCCTAGGCACAGTAAGTTTTGAGATACTGCCCTTGAAATCATCATTTCACTTTTTCACATTTTTTTTCTCAAGAGTACTGGAAACTAAATCTAGGGCCTCATGTGTGCTAGGTAAACATTCAGCCACTCAGACAAACTCCATGTCTTTGGAATTTTGAAGTACAGTCTTGCTACATAGTCTAAGGTGGCCTCAAACTTGAGATCTTCCTTCCTCTGTATTCTGAGAACTCAGTTTACAAATAGGAAAATATAAAGATTTCTGTGGTAGAGCCCCTTGGCTATGACCATGGCCATAGGCAATTATTTATTCACAATTTAAGAACTGTGTATTTCGGTCACCACTATCTGCTAATAGCAGGGAAGAAAGCCAAACATTTTAATTCCAATGAACAAATCTATAATTAATTAGCAAAGTGATCTTCCCTTTGAATTTCACATTTTGTAGAACAAGCTGTTTGATTTGGCTGGGGCTCAGGCCAGCATGTTTGTGAATTTCACAATTCACAGATGTTAGACACTCTCAGGCTAAGTAAAGGAAGAGAATGTCAAGTTTTAAATAGCTTCTCCCTGGCTGAAGCAACAAATAAAACATCTTTATGAACACATTTTGAACCAGAATTTCTTATAGGGAAATGTCAGATTTCTCAGAAAAGGACTGCAGATTGTCTCACAACTCTGGCATTTACTGATGTCATGAGTTTACAGGTGCCCTGTGATTTGGGGACTGATGGAATATGTTTACTTGTCATGTTAGTGACACTTGGAATCATTTTTTTTCCTTGTTGGACTCTATTCTAAATTAGCTCCTGAATCATATTTCATTCAATTCCTAAATTTCAAGAACTAAGATTTGTTTACAGTGCACATGTAGAAAGGAAGGTGGTTATTTGGAATGTAGACTTTTCCTGGTACTATGTTAATTCTTGAATCTATAAGTTTTATTCCAAAGTAGAGCATGTCAAAGCCACACCACAGAGCAAAATTGAGACCTAAGAGTGAGTGAGACTGATAGAGAGTGAAATAAATTAAAATGCTTTCATTCATAGGAACTATGAAATTATGTGGTCAACTTCAAAATATTCTAAAAAAATTATATGATTTCCTGTCTTAAAATTGTGTTAAGAAAATTATTACATATATGTAGAGGTGTGTATAAGGTAGGATATTTAAACAAGTTGATAAAGGTTATTTTATTTAGGGCAGGCAAAATTTCTAAAGAGATGTGAATGGATATCTTTTTCTCTTAGTTAAGAGGAAGACCGAGTTCTAGGTTAAATATAATCAAGGAATTTCCCTGTCTTTGCTATTTGAGATTGTGACCACAACAGGCGGTTGGCTGAAAGGGTGGCTGAAGCGGGGGAGGGAAGACAGATTAAACACACACACACACACACACACACACACACACACACACACACACTTTCTTAAACAGCTTTGCAAAACTTTTTTTTATCCCCAGAAGAGTGGACAGATACCATCAAATCAACTCAGTATCCAAACCCAAGGAAATGTAATTTAGCTGGAGGGAGATGGCCATTCCTCAGACTTGTTATAAAAGTCCAGGCTGCTGAAATTAAACTCTGATGCCATTCAAGCCAACATCCAATCAGGAGAGAGATCAGAAGTTCAGAGATGCCTCCAAGTTGCCAGCAAGTGTGGCCACTGTATGTCAAGGACTCTAAAGCCGTGGAAGAAAGGGAAGAACAACTTTAGTGAGGATGCCCAGCTGGTAAGAATCAACTGTTTGTGATGTTTTAGTCACTTGAGGAATCTCATTGGCTAACTTGAAGAAAGGCTCCACCTCTTTGCAAATATGTGGAATGGGAGAGAGGGGGTGAGGAAGGGGAAGTGTCTGAACTTCTATATCTGATGGCATCTGACCCTAATGCTTTAAGCCTCCTGGCCATATATCTACATATACACAGGTATATGTGTATGTTTTATATAATTGCTCTCCATTTGTTGATATCAAAGAGAGTTGAAGGAAATGAATTTTGAAACGTCACGGTGTGCTCCCCTACAGTACTGCCCCGACCCTTACATCCAGCGGTGAGTTTGAATGTGACATACTTCTATAAAAACTTAATTGGAGTACCTTGTGTGTAATGAATGTCTCTGCTTCATAAAAGTGGGACTTCCTTCTTGTTTACTAAACAAAGTGATACTATTTTGTACTTTAGGTAAACTTCAAGCGGTCTATGGGCTTCTCTTCTAGATTTCTCCTTGGATTTCTCTGGATTTACAAAGAAACGATATTTGAGGTCACTTATTATTTTTTAAAGTTATCATAATATTTTAAGATGTTTACAATACAATAAATGCTTTTCTCAGTATCAGCCACAAAAGAAATTTTACTGGGTAGAGATTGAAGGATCTATGGAAAATCCTTCAAATCAAAATAAACACTGGATAATTCTGACTTACATGTTAAAATTGATAAATAGCCATTGTTACTTAGAACAGATGGTGGTTTGTCATTTTAGCTCCAAGAAATGTTTTCTTTTTGAAAAAATGTTTAATAACAAATATCATCTTCTGACAAATCTGACTTTTGAAACCTGTGATTCTACTGAATTTTATTTGTGTTTTCAAGAAGAAATATTTGCCTAGCACTGACAAGGAATATTAGAGTGAACAATTTGTGTGTGTGTGTGTGTGTGTGTGTGTATGAGGGGAGACTGTTTTAAATTAGAGTTTGCTATTTTTAAACTGGTAAATGAAATCTGAACAGTGTTTTCCAGTCATAGAGTTATGAGAGATATTCAAAGTCGCACGAAGCAGTGTGATGTTGTTAATTTAACAATAGATTTGATGTAAGTTTGTACTTTATGCAATTTATGAGAGAGGTCTCCTGATTGTAAAAATGGCAGGGTTTGAAAGGGGTTAAACTGACATTTGCCACCTGTGCCTACTGGAACTTCATACTAGAAGTGGAGTCGAGTAGCTCTGGCTGGGACTCAGTAACTGTGCTATTGCCTAGCGGATTAGGAAAGACTTGTGATCCACTTTCATTAGCATGATTTGCTACCATGTAAAAACACTAATGTTTAGGACTATGCAGATACTATTCTCTTCATGTGACTTTTCTGGTGAGCTATTTGAGAAAGGAGAAGAGAACAAGTAAGCCAGGAAAGCTAATGGAATGGGGAAGACAGGTAGAAAATAAAGAGAAGAAGAGGAAAGGAAGGCAAGAAAGAATCTAGGTTGTGGTTGGTCTAAAAGTTTGAAATGGGAAATGTGATTGGTGTACTTGATACCCAGCTTGTTGTCTGCTATAAACAGCGGTGTTAGTTAAAAAAAAGTTGTCTTGGAGTTTATCTTCTTAGATGATGTGGAGTTGGGAATGGACGTTGGTTAAAAAAAATAATAAAAAGCAATACCAAAGATGGTCTTGTCCTCAACATTATTCTAATCACAAAGTTATCTTTTGAAATTGTATTTCTAAGAATGTAATTGTGAGGGAACATCAGCTCTATGTTTCTCTTCAAAGTCTTTCCTAAAGTAGATACTTGAATCCACAACAATTTTACTGAAACTTTTTTCTGTTGACTAGCAGATATTGGTGTGGAGGAATTTCTAGTGCTGTGTGACAGAAGCCCATATGCATAAATTAATAAAGAAATGACTTTTCATATTGCTTTGACAACATGCTAGCTCGTGGAGTAAATATAATTTCTCTTTTTACAATATTATAAAATTCTGGACAGTAGTAGTATTTTTTTCCATAGTTTAAATTTTCTTCAACTTCCTGGAACTCGAATTCTGGTGAGTGTGATTTGAAGTTGGGGAGCTGGGACTGTAGTTCAGGAGGATCAGGAAGCACCCATTTTTGTAATGAATTATTTGGGACTGCACTATGTTCCTCTCATTTATAATAAAAAGTTATTCATTAAATGATTTAGGGAAAAGAAAAAAATGTTTGCTACTGAGCCAGTGAGTAAGAATCTCAGACATGGTAACAAACACTTGAAATCTAGTACTTGAGAGGAGAGACAGGAAAGGTAGCCTGTACTATATCGAGAAGCTTTATCAGAAAGAGAAAGAAAGAAAGGAAGGAAGAAAAAAGGAAGGAAGAAAAAGAAAGAAAGAAAGAAGGAGAGGAAGAAAGAGAGAAAAAGAGAAAGAGAAAGAAAGAAGAAAATGAAGGAAGGAAGGAAGGAAGGAAAGCAGGCAGGACAGGAAGGAAGAAAGAAAGACGGAAGGAGAAGGAGAGGGGAAGGAGGGAGAGAAGAAAAAGAGAGCAAAGCAAAGATATACTTACAATGTTTACTTAATTCCTCATAATATATTTAATAGCAGACATTTTTCACAAATATTTTAATTATTTTTCAAAAACTTAAAAAATTATCATATTTTATCCCTCTTAGTGAATAAATGAAATTTATTATAAAGAATTCATATAGTACTATGCATTGTCAGTGCAAATACTGAAAAATTCTCACTCTGGTGCTCAATGAGTGAATGGATTTGACTTGGTTTTTCTAAGCAACCTTGTGGTTCTCAGTTTACAAAATCTATTTTAAGAAAGACCAAATTTAATCATTCCATAATCATAGTCATCTACATACTTAAATTTATCTTTCTTGACCTTATCTTTAAAAAGAAGTCATGAAAAAGATTCTTAACAACAACAACAGAAATTTAGACAGCAGGATTTCTTGGTATTTTTAACTCTAAGTTGCCATAATTCATGAATTCCAGTTCACATATAATATAGTAAATAACATGCATTTTCATCACTTGCTGAATGTCATGTCCAAAAAGTCAGTTTTAATACATAGAAGAGAGCATGAAACTAGTAATTGCACTGAAAGTGAGATTTCATACTCCCTAGTTTGTTCTTGAGGTTTGGAGCGAATTTTTGTTTTTTGTGGTTTTTTTGCACCTGACATATCATGTACTTGGTTGTGTTCTTTCCAAATTTTTCTGAAAATATAAAAGGCAGTTAAAACTATGGATCTTAATATATTATTCTTTTGATGATATTGACAATTTATATAAAGAAAGAACTTGTGGACAAAATTGATAACTTGTTATATGACTATTAATTTTAACAAAAATCTCAAAGCATGGTAAAATCATTCAAGATTAATAAATAAATCAGTGAGCTAGTTAACATTATTACCAAACCTCCATGCAATTGAGTTTATAGTTTATTTTCTTATTAGATGGACACTTAAAATCAACCTAAAATTCAACATTTTAGAAACTAACTTCAGTAGGTGTAGGATATAATGGGTCATGTTATATTCCCTTGCTTTTAGAAATCTCATCTAGTTTGTAAAATGTAATAATATTATTATATTTTTTGTCAGTTATAGGGCTTGAACGCTGGGCCTGGACACTGTCCCTAAGCTCTTCAGCTCAAGGCAAGTGCTCTACTACTTGAGCCACAGCACCACTGACAGTTTTCTGAGTGGTTTATTGAAGATAAAAGTCTCGTGGACTTTCCTGCCCGGGCTGGCTTTGAACTACAATCCTCAGATCTCACCTTCTAAGTAACTAGGATTATAGGTGTGAGCCACCAGCACAGGCTAAAATGTAGTATTTTTAAACTAATATATTCTGGGATAGATTAAAGTATTTTGTTATCTTTTCAAAAATAGAACAGTTAAAGTAGTAAATATAAATCAAGATTAAATTTAGAAATAATGTGCTTATCAAGGCCTAAAAATAAAAGTAAACATAAATTACTATGTGATCCACTTGTAAATCTTTTGTATTCCTTTCATTGGAGACTCAAAAGAAACATGAAAAAGCTAAAATATTGTAAGAAGTATTTCTTGCAAGGATTACATATTTGTTGGGAATTTTATGCCTTTAGTAGCTTAAAGGTCAACTTCATTAACTGTGCTTTCTAAGTAGGTCCTTATAGGGGTGTTGGGAAGGTCCTGATGAGGACTTATTCTCTCTGAAAGGCAGGTAAAGTCATGTCCTAGGCATCCTCCACTTACTTTCCACATCGGCCATCATCCTTCTTTCTAAATTCAATGCCTCAGCAAGCTCACTCCTGAAGAATATATTAACAGATCCTCTCTCCTCTGCTATTCTGATGAGTTCAACGAGTGGAGTCTGTCAGCAAGAGAGGGACGCTCAGAGAGAAGTTCAGATACTATTTTGCCTGACTGACTCCCCATTGAGTTTTGTGTTAAATGCTCTCTGTCCTGTCGAAGGACCTTGCCACAGATTGAAGACTCTTGAAATAGAGTGACTACTCTCCACCCTTTCTTTCTTTCAAACCTAGTGGTAGTAACCATTTCTAGCCACTACTGATTCCAGAGAGCAAATACTATATCCATTACCTTTAATTACTCTTTTTCCTGCCAGATTTACAAGAACAAAAGATAAAATATACCAAAGGTGGTAGCATTGTGATATATGCCAGCATCCAAAACAATTGATTAATATAATTTCTGTGTGTGTGTGTGTGTGTGTGTGTGTGTGTGTGTGTGTGTGTGTGTGTGTTGCTACTGGGGCTTGAATTAAAGGCCTTAGTGTTGTCCCTTAGCTTTTTCTCTCTAAGCTAGTGCTCTATCACTTGAAAAACAGTTCTTCTTCTGGCTTTTAGGTGGCCAATTGGAGATAAGAGCTTTTTTATGGACTTTACTGCGCTAGCTGGCTTTGAACCACAGTTTTCAGATCTCAGTCTCTTGAGTAGCTAGAATTACAGTGTGAGCCACTGATGTTTGGCTTAATACTATAATTTCTAATGGGAGATAAGGAATTTCTCCATTACAGTGAGGAAACAGAATTTAGCTTTCTCCATAATGAAAAAGTTTTTTTTATTGATTAAAAGGAACAAGCCAAGTGTCTCTGTTTATGTTCAATAGTAGAAGCAAGTCAAGTGATAGGAAAAGTTAGTTATAAATGAATGTGGTTACAGTTTATGAACAGGATCTAATGTATGGATAGGTTGTGATTAATAAAAAGTGCTTTGAACTGTTACAATTTAAGAAAAAGTTTCAAAATGCCCATAGGACCAACCACAATGAGCAACCTGCAGATACATGCATTCTCATTTCTGATTTTCTCACTGATGGAGAGAGATG